TGTATCGGGAATGAATTTACCACTAATGTCTAGAACAGGGGTGTCAAACTGGATTTGAGAGCTGGATTAGCATTGTAGTTCTCCTTTGCAGGCTGGCAGGAGGGGAGTAGAGGGGGAGATAGGGACAGATGCCTCCTGCAGCACCCTGCTAGCTAAAATGGGGGAGGGGTGGCAACCTCTGCATCATTTTTGGACTGAACAGCCTCCTGCAGCATTCTGCTGGCCAAAAAATAGACTGCATGGCGGCCATATGAGGCATCCCGCGGCCCGTTTTCGGCCTCCACAGCCTCCAGCAGCAGTCTGCCGACCAAAAACAGGACATGCAGAGGCCCTGCACGGCCCCCATGTGGCCTGTTTTCGGTCTCCCCAGCCTCCAGCAGCACTCTACTGGCCAAAACTGGCAGCACAGAGGCCTTTAGCCCCCTTGCCTAAACGGCCGCACGAAGGCCTTTTAGTCCACTTGCCTAAAGTGATTACTTATTTAGGCAATCTCTCTGCTGTGTGTGTGGAGGGAGGAGGTCAGGCATAGAATAGTGCCTACTAATAACAAACCCATGGATGAAAGAGAGACTGCAAAGGTTTCAAATGAAGACATTGGTTATTATTTCAAGTTCTTTTTTCAGCGCTGTCATAACTTTGAACAGTTGCTGCATGAGGCAGTTGATTAATGAGGTCTGCCTGTATTTCATTCCACTCTGTTCACAGTCTTTCATGCCTTGGTCACCTCCAGAACTGATTCCAGTAACATGTTCTACATGGGGCTGCTGTTGAAGAGAATCCAGAAGTTTCAGCTGGTGCAAAATGTGAGTTACATGTGTCCTGAGATGGATGGATGTTGTATCTTTGCTCCATGAACTTCATTGGTTGCCATTTTGCTTTTGGTTCCAATTCAAAGGTCTTTTTAAAATCTTTAAAGCCCTTCATGGCATGGAGCAGGTTACCCGAGGGACCATCCTATCAGATCTGGCAGGAAATGCATGGTACATGTGTGTTCTGTCTATGACGGAGTTTCAAGAGGTGAATCTTTCCATCACAACACTCACCCTTTGGAATACCATCCTCCTGAGGTGAGATTAGCCCCAACCCTTATGGCTTTCCATGAAGCTCCCATAGCTATTCAGCCAAATGAAGTATCTAGTTTTATCAAAGTAGTTCCAGAAAGTCGTATACTGGCCTGAAAACATTTCCCATTTTATTCTTATCTCTATGTTTTTTTTAGTTATTGTACTTTTTTTTTTTGCCTGCCATGATCACCTTTTTTCTATCAAAAATGTCCTCTATGTTTCTGGAAAACCCTGATATAATTCCGCTATGCTCTAGAAGCCAATCATATAGCCTAGATCAAACATAAGCTACCTCTACATGCAATTTTTTTAAAAAATCTGGCTTTAAGTATATAGATAAATATGTTTCTATGCATCAATGCATACAGTTATATGCCCGGGGTAATGTATTTCTTAGAAACAAAAAGTATAAATCAAAGAGAACGTTAAAATAAAAAGTTGATAAAGTCATCTCTTAGGAGAATCTAGCATTTTTGGCCACAGTTGGCTCAGTAAACTTCACTAAGTTTACTGTTGACTTAGTAAACCGAAAATGCCAAAGTAGTAAATGCAGGTAGTCTTCAAGTTATGACTACAATTAAGCCTCATTTAGCAAAATTTCTGTTGCTAAATGAGACAGATGTTAAGTGAATTTTGCCCCATACAATCTTTCTTGCCACGATTGTTAAGTGAATCACTGCAGTTGTTAAGTTAGTAACACAGTTGTTAAGTGAATCTGCCTTCCCCATTGACTTTGCTTGTCAGGTCACAACATGACCCTGGAACACTGCAACAGTCGTAAATATGAACCAGTTGCCAAGTGTCTGAATTTTGACTTTGTGACCATGGGGATGACTCAGTAGTCATAAATGTGAAAAGGGGTCATAAGTCACTTTTTCCAGTGCTGTTGTAACTTGGAACAATCCAGTGGTGGTATTCTACCGGTTTGGCCCGGTTCTGGCGAGCCGGTAGCAGCGATGAGCAGCAGAGACTCGGGCTCCCATACTCAACTTTATCCGCTGGATTTGAAGCGTAGCTGCTTTGCGCAGCACAGAATAGTGCCGCGTGGCAGTTGCTGAAGCGTCCGGGATTATGCAGGCTTGCAGGAGGTGAGTTAGAATGCCTTTGTGCAAAGTGTGCATTTGACGTGTACATGCACGTGAAGTGCGCCCACCAAACCACACCCATCAAACCAGTGGCAAAAATATTTGAATCCCACCACTGGAACAGTCACTAAATGAATGGTTGTTAGTTGAGGACTACCTGTAATGCTTAGGGCAGTAGATTGATCAAGTTCTCTTTTTAGAGACTTGGGCCAGGACGCTCATCTTGGAAGGTGAAATCCAATATTTATCACAACTCATTTGCAATTGGCATTCTTCCTGTGGAATGGTGGCTAATCCCTGATCAGTAGAGGCCCATTAAGATCTGCTGCAACAAATCCAAAGTATTTGGGCATGTGACACAAACTCATTTTAATCTGTCCTTGGCACTAAGATAATACACAATTATATTATTAGATTTAGTAAACTTTTATTTGCTTTCTTTCATGGGTCAATAAAATCCAGACACAACTATCTAGTGTGCTCATGTTGAAAATACATGTATAACACACAGACGTTTTATTTGGCTAACCGTGGCTTTGGTTTCACTCAACAATTCTGCAGATACTGATGCTGATTACAGCCTAAGCCAAGTTCCTAGAATGCCTGTATGTTTTTTGTTTATTCGTTTGGAGGTGGGAAAAAATCATAAAATATAGTATTAATTCCTATTTAACCGTTCTTTTACTTTCTCTCTCTCTCTTTGAACAATCTCAGAACATGCTCTTTCTTACCCTTCTTGAGAATATTTGTATTTCATATTTGTTAAAAGTTGAAAATCTCACATTATGGTCAGTTATTCTTGGAAGTTATTTATTTAAATATAAAAAGCATTGATGCTAGCCGGCTGGTAATTGTGATCCTGATACATTTGGGAGGTACTGGCATGGGGAAAACTGCTGGATAGAACTTAGTAATCCATATGAATTTTTGCTATTATACATTTATTACGATACAATAAATCCTGTGATGGGAAGTACTGTTCAGAAGGAATGTAGCAAGCAGTACTTTGACAGGTCCATGGTTTAGTTCCTTGAAAAGTAGCTAGCATGCATCATAATCATTACTGGTGAAATGTATCTGTGCTATTATACAATGGCATAGTTGCCATTTATTTCAAATGGGTGCAGAGTGCCACCTATTGATTACAGAGAGAAAGTTCAACCATATCATCATTTTGTTGTGCCTTATACTTTTATTTAGGTTCAATCTGAAAGCTGAAAGTAACAGGACTCAAAATGTTGCATGATTAATTTGGTATCCAATAATATGAATATGCTGTTTTAGAAAATAAATAGAAAAAGGAATAGCTGGTATTGAGATAAATTGTAGAGGATTCATTCTTTTGGAAGAAACGTGGGTTTTGTGCATAGATCTTAGAAAAGTATCAGAATAGCACAAGGCACATTGTCTTAGTCAACAAAGACAAATATTAATATTAGTATGGTACATATGATCTAATACATTTGGTCCAAAGAGTCATATGCCCATTAGTTACAATTGTGATTCTCTGAGGCAAGGTAGCCAATAAAGTTATTACTGTACTTTCATCCAAAATATGTTGTTTGGAGTCTAAACTAATTTGTTGAAAGAGAACACATGAATATATTCAGAATTTACATCAAGCATGAGAATCTGAAATTCATTTAAAAATAATGATTATATTCCCAGTTCAATCTCAATGATTATGCTCTAATAGGGAACATACTTAACTGATTTTTCATGCAGCAAAAACATATATAATTGTGTCATGGAATTCTTGTGCAAATAATATACACATACTTTATTTTAAACAATACAATCTTTATTATAAAATGTGGATCAATCCTTTGGAATAGATAAAATATATCAGGAAGAAAATACTTTAACAATCATAACAGGATCAGCGATAACCCAGTGAATCTACACCCTGACTGAAGCAAAAAAGTTTTATCTTCTTAGATCTTGTGAAAGGCTGACTGATAGAACATTTTTTCTAATGTATGGATAATCTATTTTGTTCCTCATGCTGAAATGCAATTTAAAAACAATTGCGGTTAAGGATTTGTTTTAAAAACTAATCAACAGAATTTTGATTTCTCCAGAAAAGCCAGTTTTAAGAAAGGAAAATAGCAAATACACTCTAAGGGATTTCAAAATTCTAGGTGATCCTGGTTTATCTTGACATTTTGAAGGAGCAAAAAAAGGCATTTTTGTATGTCTTGAACTTCTGTACATTTCTCAGTCAAGTTCAGATTTGAAAAAGGTTTTGTGGGGCTAATCTCCAGATGCATTTCCTTTTTCTTTAAAAATCAAGCTTCGTGCTGTGTCAAAAATACTCTGGGTCTTGGCTTTTGGGGAAATTAACCTTTGGTATCCAGGGTGACAGAGAAATGTTACTTTAAAGTCTGAAGAGGAGAGGCTTTGGAGATTACTGTGCAGAACTAGAGCAGTTGTTACAATGGGAACTGAGATGGACTTTCTGGGATAGAGTGGGGAAGGGTGGGGGTGAGCAGGAGGTTTGTCCTATCTCAGAAATGTCCATATTCCTCTAGTTACATCTTCAGTATCCACCAGCTTATTCCTATATGGAATCATATATGACTCCTATATGGGATCTAATTGTATGATAAATATGGATACCCATCTTCTGGTACAAAACAGTAATCTCCATTACTTCCCTGTTAATAGTTTAGAACTGGATGCTCTTTTTACTATATTTTTGAAATTAGGGAATTTCTCACAAGTTCCTTAACCATGAAGAGCACCAGCAAATTCTCCCTACATTTAGCAATGTCCCATGTTTTTAAACATTTGTTGTGTGGTTTATTTAGAACCGTACTCAATCTAAATTCGCTGATTTTTGTAGGATGAATCTTACATAAAGTTTTTCTATTCTGGGTCTAGAATTACTGATTTTGATATGTACTTTTGTATACTATTCTATGTATAAAATGTGTGTTTGTGTGCATGCGCATGTATGTACACATATATACTAAGCTCAAACCAAAGCTAATATCTACATTTTAAGTTTATTATCAGAAAAGATCCCAAGTTATTCATGATGTTTGTTGTTGTATTTGGTTATTTGCACTAATCAGCTGATTATGTTGGACTTCATTTGTTAAATGACTGAAAACAATTCTTTTTTTTTTCTGCAGGTACTGGTTATGATTTGTAAATAAATAAATTGCTTCTTGGTGAATTTGAGAACATAACTATTTTTTCAACATATTCATATTAGCCAGCTACAAATATTACATATTTCAGAGTCTTGGACAGTCTGGCAGTGAAGTTCATAGATGATCACCCAAACCAATCATTTTATAAACATTAGGAATCCATTGTTTTTTCTTCCATCTCTTGGTTGTCCATAATGGCACCAGAGGATGACGCTTCTCCTCCTTCAGCTCCTTCAATTAAAGAGATGTGAACATGAGAAAGTATTAATTCTACAAAGAAGAACTCAATCAAAACACTTGGAGTTTGGAAGAACTTTTCACAATATTTGCTCACAGTAATATGGATACCCCAGAGTTATACACCAAATTCAAAGAACATGTGCCGCTGATGAAAGAAAACATGGCAAGTATACGTTGTGTAACAGTTGTAAAGCCGTGTGCTACCTGTTATTGTAGTGAAATTACAAACAAAGCAGCTTATTGGCTTATGGAGCCTAATATGAAGTTGGAAAGATCCTTAGAAAATTGCTTAGTAATAATGCTTAGCAATAATTAATTATTATTAATAATAATAATAATTTTAATAATAAAAATTACTTAGTAATAATAATATCTACAAACCCTTCATATCCTGGACATAAATTGTCTCAACTTCTACCCTCAAAATGATGCTATAGGGCTCTGCATACCAGAACAACAAGGCACAAGGAGTTTTTCTCTGAATGCCATCACTCTGCTAAACAACTAATTCCCACAACACTGTCAAATTAACTACTAAGACTACTATTCTTCTTCACATGCTTACTAGTACCTATCTCTTCCCTCTTATGGCTATATCCATGATGCTTGTATCTTTACAACTTATATTGTTTTATTTGTTTTCTAGTCTGGTTTGATTGCTTATTAGTATCCTATGACTATCACTAAGTGTTGTATCTTATGATTCTTGATGAATGTATTTTATTTTTTGTTTATGTACACTAAGAACATATGCACCAAAGACAAATTCCTTATGTGTCAATCACACTTGGCCAATAAAGAATTCTATTCTATTCTATTCTATTCTATTCTATTCTATTCTATTCTATTCTATTCTATTCTAAGTTGGAAAGATCCTTAGAAAATTACTTGGTAATAATGATGCCTTAATGAAGAACATTCCTTAGTTATTCTAACAGTTAAAAGTAGCTTTTGATTCTCAAAAGGATTACCATCTGACATTGAGAGTTCTGCTAATTTGTGTGGCAGTTCTGATGTTCCAGCTCCAGCAGAAGAACCCAGAATGTCTGGTAAGGCATTTCGGCGTCCAGCCCGTCCTGATGCAGCAAAATCTGTGACTACAGGCTCAACATCAGTCATCTCTGATGTCTTTCCTCATAGCAACATCTCCTGAAAAACACCAAGAGTCTCAGCTTCAATAATCTGGTGGCCAAATGCAAACCAATCTTGTTGTTTAGGAGGAGAAAGTAACTTTTCTTTTGAAAACCAAAATGTACTTTCCCTTGGTAGAAGGACAGGTCTCAATACATCAGTGCTGAAACTTTATCCCGAGAGTCTATTTCCTTTTTTTCCCCCCATTTTCACTTTCTACTTACAGTATTTTAACAGCATTCATGAACACAACATTTATTTTTGATTTGTCAATCGCTTTACAAGATAATAGGTATAAGTATATATGAATACATGAATACATGAAATGGGTACATATAAGAAGAATAAAAGAAACAATAGGACAGGGACGGTAGGCATGTTGGTGCATTTATGCACACCCCCTTCAGACCTCTTAGGAAAGGGGTGAGGTCAATAGTAGACAGTCTAAGGTTAAAGTTTGTTGGGATTCCAGAAGCCTTCTGAACTTGTTCAGAAGACAGGAAGAAGCCAAGAGGGCTATTTTAGAGCTGAATCATGAATGAAAGTAAAGGATGGAATTTCCTATCATTTGTAGAGCTTATGCATTGTGAGGAGAGGATAATGCTTCCCCAGGAATATTACGGATAAATTCAAATACAACATGTTATATATAAGAATACAGTGCTGTAGTCTCTAGAAATGTGTCTCTTAAAGTAAACCAGGTATGACATCCTTATAATAGAAACAGCTTCACTTTCCAAGGGGGATCTTATCTTTAGCTTTCCAGTGTCCAGGAGCAGAAGCAACTGATTGATGGGGTTGTGTGTCAAGAGAGACAGACCTGAAAGGGCAGTTGGAAGTATCAGGGATATTTTCTCTCCATTTATTGTGATCCAAGATAAGTTGTTTTGGTGCTTGTTTTAAATTAGAAATAGAGAATGTAAATTAAAAAAAACAACAACTCTAGATACCTCTTCACTTTTTTGTGGCTTAGTTGATGAGCAAACCAATCCAGATGGAAGCAGTAAATGTTACATTCACTGTTTTAAGGACTTAAAATTCTCATGAAGGGACTGCGAAACTATAAACAGGATCAGCAAATAACCTAACGCTGTTCTGGATTTTACTTTGTAGTACTATAGTGCCTTGGATGTAATCAGGGGTGGGATACGACAGGGTTAACTACCAGTTTGGGATTTACGAGCTTCCCTGCACGCTGGGAGCCGCACGCCTGTAAATCATCATCAGCAGTCTGCATTCAGAGAAGCAGCCTTTGAAACAGCCCTCTTTTCCTGCCTTTTTAACTGCAGCTGTGCCTCGTTCGGCAGCTGAAGTTGAAAAATCAGGAAATAAAGATCAGGTAAGAGCCCGGGTGAGCAGGTGGGCAAAAACATCAGCAGACATAGAACGGATTCTATGTCTGCTGCTCTTCAGAGCTACCGGTTCTACAGAGGTGGACAGAACCGGTAGAAACCCACCCCTGGATGTAATCCCCAACTATTTGAAACACCATTTGAACACCATTCAACATTGGCAGATTCACTATCAGCAAAAGGCAGCTTTGCTTGAAACTGCTTACATCCTGTGACAGTGCCTTTAACACCATCAAACAACCACATCTGCCCATCCCAGGTCCTTAAGAAGAACTCGATAGGTGGATAAAAATGCCAAATCCAGTCTGAACATTTGGCTGATTGTGCAAGCAGCCATAATAAAAATATTCGCTGTCCTTAGATTAATTTAGGTTTTGTGGGGGAAACGTGCATTCCCATCTTCAGCGAAATGGCCAATGTTAACACAGGCAAAGTGATTTAGGCAATATTCAGGAATAAAGGAGAATTTTTAACAACTCTCTACAACTCATTGTAAAGATATTTGTGGTAGTTAACATGTTTATTAGTACAAAAATCCATTTACCCTGACTGCTGTGACTTAAATATTTTTTTCCCTAAACGTTCAAGCCAAAAACATTGCTAGCATGATTTTACAAACTAATGAAAACAAGATAACCCCATTTTATGGTCTATAATAGGGCTGTCAAACTCATGGCCCGCAAGCCGGATGTATCACAAACTGGCCATGCCCATGCCCCGTTTAGCGAAGGAGGGGAAGTCCCAATACATCAAGTGATGCCATCATGACAAAGTGAGTTTGACACCCCTGGTCTCTAAAGAAAAGCTACGGGAGGAAAAATGACAGGAAAGGGAAAAGGAAAGCTAGCAAATTCAGGCACTAATTCTTAGCATCTTAACATTCTTTTCATGATCAATCCAAATGGAAATGAGCTGCAAACACACTTCAAACGAGCACCTCTGACAAGGATACCACAATCATCAACTCCCCCAAGTGAAGTCAAGATGGCAGCTTCTTGCCATCTGTTGCTGCTGCTTTGGTTATTTACAGAATTGTTGGTTGTGGTAGCCTTTGTGTGTGATGCTTGCTTTACAGGGAAACATTAAACAAGACTATTATGTTAGCTGCTGTCATGCTGAAATATTTTCTCTTGGTCTAGGCTGTGGCCATGACAGCCCTACATATAGCAGAGTGAAACCAAGACACAGGATCAAACTGCAGTAATTTTCCAGCAGTCTAATGGAGTGCTCTCATAAATTAGTGGAATCTTTGCTAACATTGAACATCTAAAATTAGTCCCAAGAGATACATTTCCATCTCTTTAGTCTCACATCTAAGTATTTATATAGATCTTCAGACACAGCAGTATTTGTATATCAGTAATCTGCTATGGTACATGCATAAAAATGCATACAGTATCAGACAACAATTAGAACATGACTTACAGGAATATTTAACCAGTCTACTAACCATTGCATGTTAAATCAAAACACAATGCTTGGTAACATCCCATTTCTTAACTAATGCACAGAAATACATAATATAAAAACTAAATGCTTAGCAAACACTTTCCTACATGTCTACTTAAAAAAAAAGTCCAACTGAATTTGATGAAAGTTATTCTTAAGCAAGTGTAAATAGGATTTCCACATATATTAGTTGAATCATCCTCTTTCCCCCAATTTTTTAAATTAAGTGCTGTATTCTAATTTCCCTTTGCCATGTTTTAGCAATATTGTAATCACTAAAAGACTGACAATTTCCATTATTTTTATAGTCTGGAACAAGGGGACACAGTCTGATCCTTTTCAGATCTTTTGGATTCCAACAGGGATTACACTTCATCATGGCCAAATTGGCGATTGTCATATTGGTAGTTTAAAATATCTGTATGGCATCAGGTTTTCTATCCCCTTTTAAGAAAATAACCTACATTATTCAAAACAATCACTTCACTAACTTGTGTAAGAACATACAGGATCAGTACCAGGTTAGCAATAAACAATGTATTACTGCAATTGTTATGAGAAGTAGTGTCAAGGTAATGAACATAATGGTATATATTTTATTATTGTATTATCTTCAGCCTGCAGGAATAGACCCCAAAGTTGTGTTGTTTTGCAACAGTTAACCAATTAAAGATCCAAAGTGTTTGCAATTCTACCCAGAAACAAACAAACAACTTAATTTATTTTCCCAACATTATTAATCTTTTTGGCTGATCTTTTCTCATCAATATAAATCAACTCACATGACTTTCTATTCTAGATTCTAGGGTGAAAAAACAGAATCCTGAAAGTCTGTCAGATTTACTTTCTGCCCTATCTTATACAAACAAATCAGGGACAGGTTGTTTTGTGTTTTATGCTCATGATTTCTATTTTCTAAGAACTGACACATCTTTTTTTTCCTCCCTAAATAGTTCTTTTCCCTGGGCTAAATCTACATTCTTTCACAGATATTGAATCCAACACATTTCTTCTGCAAGCTGTATTAGGTCCAGTTGAAAAGGTTAATGTTTTAATTTTGGGGGTTTACTGAGTTGCTTAATTGGTTTATAAAGATCTTCAGTGAAGCTGTTGATAAAATTGCACTTAATTTATCCCTTTTAAAAATGATTTCAGGTAACAACTAAAACAAAATAACAAAACAAAATAACAAAACAAAATAACCAATATGAAAATTAAGTGTTTCACAACTCTGTATTGTGTTTGTTACAAGGCATACTGTATATTTAGAAGAAATCAAGTCATGTTTCTGATCAGGGTCTTCATTCTAATGTATAAATCAACTTATGTATGGCTTGGCTGATTTCATATTTCCATAAAATAAAATTATATGAATTTAACCATTATATAATTGTATAATAATTGTTCCTTTATGATAGGGACCCAAACATTCTTTAGCTATTTATTCAGGTTTTCAATCCTCTGTTCATGTATGTTAATTTATCTTTAACTATGCTGGCATTAACATAATATTTTCTTTCTTATTCCTACTGTTGGATAACAACCTCAAAATATATACAAGGTTACCCTTCAACACCCATTATGTGGTTAGCAAAATCTAGGGATTAGTAGTGGATAGCATCAAAATGGTACTTATTAGATGCCTTAGGCCAGGGGTGTCCAACCTTGGCAATTTTAAGACTTGTGGACTTCAACTCCCAGAGTTCCTCAGCCAGCAAAGCTGGCTAAGGAACTCTGGGAGTTGAAGTCCACAAGTCTTAAAGTTGCCAAGGTTGGACACCCCTGCCTTAGGCTAATATAATCCTAACTCGTCTCTTCAGCTTCCCATCTCTTTTGTCTCTCCAAAGAGATAGACAAAGCTGTGCATATAACATCCTGAAGGAAATACACTGTATATTCATGGATGTGTTCATACAGTTGCTGTCAAGGTAAAAGCTTAACTTGAGGATAACTTGTTATTTTTCTAATGTCTACTACCAGATGGATCAGGAACTGCTGCAGTGTTACTGATCCATTGGATCTAGAATGCGTACTCCTGAAGTAGAGCAGATTATTTTTGTTATCAAGGAGCAAGAATGGTTCTCTGTGTACTGTCATCAATCTTACTCTGTTGTGTTCTGAGAGAAAATGGTGTTGCAGAAAATTCCAAGAACAGTCATGGAAGTGTGACTACCTCGTGCTACAATTCAAACTTCCATCTCCTTGGTTTATTTGCAA